TTTTTAAAAACGTTTTGGTCCCGCTTAAAAAGTCCTCTGAGGATACATAATATAAAAGTGATTGTATTGTGGTTTCAGGGTGCATGCATTACGAACAAACTATCACATTACCACAAAGTAATAACCACACAGTGAACCTGGATCCTTTGGGAATCCTGGGGGTCTGAAGACCCCGGGGCAGCTGCCTGGTTGGTCATATAGCCTTGCCCTAAGGTTAGCCAAACTCATTAAGTAGAGAAAGATGATTAGTAATATTAAAAACCATTCTCTTGTAAACAGCCACCAAAGATTGATTTAGAAGTTTAACGTTGATCAACCATATCACTTTCTATGGCGTGTTTTGATCTTTCCATAGGTATTGCTCTGTGTTTCAAATCTCCGCTGTTACTGCTGTGCATACGTCGTTATAATAACATGACGAACAAGACCCAAATTAACATTAACCAGAATGATCCTTTAACTAGCTGTAGTGTACTTGTGTGATTAAATGGTCAGAAAGGCCGTCTTTAGCATTTTACATTTAGCTGGCATGCTTACCTTAACAGCAGCTCGCTGTGAAAGGGCAGCTATGGCATAATGTCTTGTTCAAGGACACCTCGACGGGAGTTATTGCTGTTACAAGAGTCAAACCTCTCGCATTTCCATTATTGGAACGCCGATGTAATCACCGGGCAGACATGCTGCCCACCAGACAGATATAAACAAATCTACCTGTGGTGACAAGATGAAGTTATAGAGTGATGTTTGCCGGGGGCCAGATTCCCCAAAAAACAGTTAATAAACCATGACTCATTGAAACGTTCTCTCTGAAAGTGGCAGGATAGAGACCAGGCAGAAGTAAGGGAGGTTATATCATATTAGAAGTCTTATCAATATTGATTGTCTTCCTTGCTCGGAGAAGTTGTAAGAGCCTCATTTTCATGACACCAACAGGAGGAGGCAGAGCAATATGTCTTACTGACTACAATAATGACTACATTGCACGTTTTAAAGTAAATGAAGTTGTTTTAAAGCTGAGCAACCAAAGTTTATGATCTTTCACAAAAACACTAAAGAGTTTACTGATACCATCATACAGATGTTCTTCTTCTTGCTCCTTTTTGACCATGAAAGGTATGACATTCAATCAGCTGATTAGATTCATTTTTTGTATAAAGGTCTGCGTTGGAGGTTCTTGCACCTAAGTGATTTAATTTAATATCTAAAACTCTCTCCTGAGAAATGTTTCATGACTCTAGAGAGACTACTTTTTGGTGGGATTTTTAGGCACTTTTTTAGGTATTTCTGCTCGGCATTTGTATAAACACTCGGATTTTCTTGTTTGGATTTTCTCCAAATGTCCCATTTTTTCTCTGTCCTAACATTGCGTGGTGTTTAAACTAAGAGGTGAGGAGAGGGTCACCAAGTGTCTGTGGGACCAGCACAACCAGCTGAACTCTAATCTCATCAATTTCCCAATGCAAATATGGAATTTATTAATCTTCTGTGCAGACACTTGTAGTCACACCATTTTCCCTGCCAACTCTCAAGGAGCACAAGGAGGCCTTGTGTACAGACATTTCACAAAGCCAAGGCAAATTTCATATTTATTTGTTCTTGTTACCATGGTGACATTATACTCTAGGGGAGATAGCAGGCTCATATGCAGTCTTGGGATACAAATCCCATCGTTAAGCCTTGCAATTGAAAATGCAAACACATTCAGGATGCAAGACATGTCTAAAACACTCACCAACACACAAAACACATTAGACAATGTTTGGAGCAGATATTATTGACTTATTTTACACTTTTTAACAATTTAAAATAAGCCTTTCAATTAGGTTTGAGATAAATCAGTCAATACCCTTTTAGCATTATCTGGTAGCTTTATACATAATTATTTCTGCCAAAAGTTGGAAGTGTTTTGTTTTCTCTCCATTTCTGTGGTTTGCCTGTCTCTTCATGTGTTGGGTCATATTTGTATTTTTGAGAAAATCCATATTTTATAGATGGATTTCCAGAGAACAAGACAAGACAAAACAAAAACAACAAACAGGGGGCTTTGTAGAAAGCTTGGTAATGGGGCGAGAAAGAACTCATTAACTTTTCACACTGTTTGACCAACAGAGGGGAGTGGCGGCGGACACGGCTCCCCAAGGAACACAGAACTTTCTAACAGATTTACATAACAACCGCAAACTTTGGGGGGCAAACAACAGATAGAAAAACAGGAAAACAACTTCAATTACCATGCCAACCAACAAAAAACATGTCCTGGAGAGAAATGTATGGTTTGGAAATAAGTATCCTGCCAATTGTTACAAACCTGGCAGTTAAATAGCAGCCTTGATGGTAGCTGAAGGGATGCAGAGCTGCAGTTTTAAAGAACAGGATCATGTCATGTCCAATTTCAGATTCAACTGTGATAAAGTGAGCATCCCTTGAAGTCCTGTCACATTGCTGCTGAATACAGGAACAGGTTCTAATGGCAAAATGTTCCTTTTCAATCATATGGGGAAATGGTGTTCACTGAAACATTTGGTAGGCAACATATGTTCGAATCAATCACAGATGCAATGGTGAATTGAGGGCAATCACCAGAAGGTTAAACAAGCAGGTCGGTGAAACATTTAATCTTTTACCTTAGTGTTCTTATATTTCCTCCACTTATTCTATGCTAAGAACTGTATAGTATTGATTTGGTAAGCTCTTGTGTATGCTGTTATTCAGAAGCAGACCTGTCTGAGAGGAAGGGGTGAAGAAAAAAGCACCGATTGAATGTGTTGGGGCACTGGCACACACAATGCTTTCTAGAAAGCAAACTATATGGCTGAATCAAGTTTTCTGTACTGGAAGGTCACCTTACAGAGCACTGAATCAACTTCTCCCAACTAGGAGGGCATCAGAAGGTGCTAAATCAATCTTTCTCCACTGGAAGGGCATCATAGAAAGCACTGATTCAAGCTTTCTTTCTCTACTGGCAGGGGACCCTAGAGTGACAGGATCATGTTTTCTCCACTGGAAGGCCCCCTAAAGAGCACTGAAATACGTTTTCTCCACTGGTAGGGCACCCAAGAAGGCACTGAATAAGTATTGTGGCATTATGTATTATGGCAAAACATGAAAGTGTGAAAGCATGCAAAGTGCTAGGTTGCAAGAAAAACGTGTGGAAAAAATGTAATTAAAGGTGAAGGCTTACTGTGTTTATGATTTGATTATAATTGCTTGACTCATCATGTGGTTGCAGACTGTAAGAAGAAAGGTGCCAATGACTTGAACACCCAGGCATCTACACATCATGTGGCACATGGCCTGTGACATTTGAAGATGTAAACACAGGGAAAATGAATGAAATGAATCCCTGTGTAAGCCTTCTACAGAGTTGGAGGAAGAGTCCGCCACACAGCTGGTGGCAGGCATGTTGTCGAGCCAAGGGGGGCCAAAATCGAATCAAAGACTTGGTACATCTGGTCAACATTAGCAATTAGTTCTCCATGTTCAGTGGGTCTACTGTTCACACTAAGGCAGCGAGGTTTGCGCCAGCACATAATGAGATGAGGAGAAATTGTACCTGGGTTTTCCAGTTTTATTCTGCTATTTGAAATGGAGGAACAGTTGATTTTGGACATTTGGAAACTACATGTGCTGCACCATCTCACCAACCTAACTATAATGCTAACTATTGTATGTATATTTGCATAAATATTGCAATATGCAAAAAAGTTTCTGTGAGTCATCAGCAAAAGCAATGCGACCACACTCAGACTGCCGACACTGTTTGCACGGGGTACAACAAATTATTTAGAACGGGGGTGTCGCCGTCACGCAGTCAGTGGGGTTTATCTATAAATGAGCAAACAGAAGGGCAGATGAGTCTTTCAGTGCTCGTGGTGAACAGATCACAGTGCCGACGATGTGAATCCAGCTCTCCAGCTGAGCTTTGATTCTGTGCCACTGAAACAAAGCGATACTCCCTCGTTCAGATCAAGAGACACTTCTATACTTTAGCTGCCAATAAGACACTCATGGAGAGGTTTGCCTTGGACTTAATTGGTGTGGAATTTGGAGTGTGAGTTTGAAGTTCTGACAGCTGGAGGAAGACAATGAGCTCAACAGCTGCTCTAAGTCCAAGGCTGATGCTGTCGCCATATGTACAATTTTGCGCGGAGGTGAGTTGGTAAAGCTGTTTGTTGGTTTCAACTTCCCATCCACATACTGGATTTACCTCACCCAAACACTAACTGTACTCACATTCGGGAAGATTAAGAAGCATAATTCCTGCATCAAGTCATACTGAGCAAGGTACATCTGTGGCTGAATTTACTCATGCACTATGTGTCCATTGTATGAGCCTTGGCCTCCAAGCATCCCCCTCTCCAACACGCACACTGCCTCCCTCACTAGCCCCCTTTCTCGCTCTCACTTTCATCTCCCCTCTCTGGGTGGATAAGGAGCAGCTCTGCCTGCCACTGTGCACTTCCCTCTGAAAGAGCCATTCATTGCTGCCGGCGCAGGGACCTCGGCTCACCTATGCACAGAGGGTTTCAACTTCTCTACCTCCTGGCTTTTGGCAACACGTATTCAACGCAAACATTCTCAAGGTAACAGCTCTGACACATGCAGAAGGTCAAAGGCTGAAAAGCGGAGGAAAAAAAAAACTGCTTTGGATGAAAAACCGACTGACTTTGTCTCAAACCTTGGACCAGGGTTAGGCACATATTTCCCCTTATGCATTGAGTTTCTTCCAAGAAAAAATAATGTTTCACTACTGTGCAAAGACTATGAGAGTGGACAGCACTAGATACAAATAAAGAAAACATCATGTAGAGTTTTCTCTAACTTTCTGCTCAACTGGTGCAAGTTATAGGGAAAGTTTCTGAAGTTAATTTACTAAGTTTGAGGCATCAGCGTGTCAAGCATTGATTTATGCATTGGGGAAGCGTGCATCTCTCACAGAGGGGGAGAAAGGGAGAAGGGGGGAACAGGACACTGACAGAGTGATTTGCAGTGGCACTTACCTCCTAGAGCGGGGCTGGGGAGGCAGAGCAGCAGGGTCAGAAAGGCACCGACCAGGACCGAATGCATGGCTCTCATATTTTCGTGCTGAAAGTTAAGTCCTCCACTCTCACGTTAAAGACACTCCATTCAGAAGGGGACTGAATGAGTTTCCAGTTTTGGGACCTGCTGCAGGATACTCCTCCATGTAAAGGGGCTGGGCTGGGGAGGGACGATGAGAGAGACGCCTTCTTACAAACCCCCCCTCTCTCTCCAGCACACACACAGACTTCTTTAGATTGAAAAATCCAGAGATGGCAAAAGTACACACAACCTTTACTCAAGTAGAAGTACAGATACTGGTGTTTAAAAATACTCTTTAAAAGTAGAAGTACTGACTACACTTCTTTACTCAAGTAAAAGTAAAGAAGTATGGGCTTCGAAATGTAATTAAGTAAAAAAGTACCCACAACTGTTTTAAAGAGTACCTGACCTCCCTTTATATGAATAGAACAATAATGTCATTGTTAGCTAATGAATGTTTCCATGCTGAACAACGGCAACATGACAACGTTTTCATTGGTCCCTCTTCTTTAGAGAAGACCAGGAAATGATGGATACACGGATCGTGTTCAAATCAATAGGCACGCAATGACTCTAAATAATAATGATCACGCCACCAAACACACATTCAAACTAAAGGAACCAGCCTGTTTGGAAAATGTAAGAAGTAGAAAGTACAGGTATTTGTGTTCAACATGTAAGAAGTAAAAGTAAAAAGTCGTCAGATAAGTAGTGGAGTAAAGTACTGATACAGAAGTAATGTACTTAAGTACAGTAACGAAGTATTTGTACTCCACTACTTCCCACCTCTGGAAAAATAATATCCTGCCTCTCCCTCCTGCCGCTGCACTTACACATTCACAAGTGCAAGAGCTGTCAGTACACACATATGCGCAAAACATCACACATACAAACACATTCACATGTATCTGTTTTACCCCTTGAATCCAACAAGCAACACCGCCTTTCTCTCAGTCTGACTACTTCTGGAATAGAAGATCTCGGCTTCTTTTGTCTCATTCAGTAATTGGAATGGCCTTTTGAGACTACCACTGCCTTCTGCAAGGATAACCCTTTTACTTTTAATTAAAGACAAATCAGCTTGCCCGACTCTCTTGGCACTTTATCTTCCAAGCCTTTCCCTTGATCAATGTCTTATTCTTTATGTTTTTGTTCAACAAACCTGCTACAGAAGTTAATTAACCACACACTTTAGCGTGGAGAGGCGGTTTGTGTTGCATTTGCGTTCACTATCTCCGCTTTATTGATAGGGCAGCGACAAAAGAGCTAAAGTTACTCATGGTGAGTGCTGTCCCTGGCTGTTCTCCACTTGGCTTACACTTAATTAATTTTTTGTAATGAACATGCTCACACTTCTCCCTAGGATTAGTATTTTCTGGTTGGATGCTAAGATTAAACATCAAGTTTACTCTCACAGCTTGAACGTTCAATTTCTCCTGTCTCACAGTTAGCTAGTTGACAAATTATTTATCGTTTTTGCAGACGGCTGAATACAATTAGAATTTCCTAAACACTTCCTTTCAGGTGTGGAATAACGCTACAGCAGTATTTCACTGTTGAGCGCAGCCCATGCAGTGCAATTAGTTTTCTTTTCAACTGAACAGACAATTCCTCAGAAATTGCCTTCAAATTAGCTGAACATCAAATATGATTAACCCTTCCAAAGCAGGAGAATGAGACAACACAAGTGGATAATTGTCATCTCAGAAACTTGCAAATGCATCAAAAATATCAAGGTTCATACCTTTTCTCAATCGGGAGAGAACATGATATCCACACAGGAATATGACTTTCATCTGACTCCTCTGATCTGTGCAGAAGAGAGCAAGTTCCCCCTCAAACTAAATCTGCATATGTCTTTTCTTTGAATCAACAGCACCTCCAGTGGCAACAGCTACACACTAAGGATGTGTTGAGAAATCAACAAACTGTGAAGCTAAAGAGGGCAGCTCATCCCTTTACTCTGCAAAAAGGTTATGAGTGTGTGTAGCTGTAAGGAAACCTGTAAAATAACACATGGCGCCTGTAACACGATCAGGCAGGCAACGTTTTCGGAAACCTCGGCTTCCCTGATTATTTCAGCGTGACACAAGCTACAATTAAAATGCTCCCTGTGAGCTCAAGCCAACCGTTTGCACCGATGACAAACCCTCGCCTCCCTGGGGAAGCTTAAAGGGCCCCGGAGGGATGTCACCCACTGATATGAGTGGGCTCCTGCCATATGTGAGCACAGGCTGTTTTATATAATCCACAACACCAGTGGCCCCCTTTAGCGTAAGCACTTCAGCTGATGCAAGTAGATGTGTGTAAACCCCTCTTTATCAAAACAAGATGATGCAATTCACGAGATGATTTGGGGCTTAATAACGCATTGAAATGCTTTGATTTAAGGTGTCCTGCGGAGCTCTTTATTGTCAACAACAACAGGGTTTGGTTTATATTCAACTCTTCTCACCTCAATATTAAATGTGTCCTTTAGGCCTTGAACATGTTGAATGCATTTCCCACCTTATAAAAAGCCCTTTTAAAACTCAAGACACCTGTTTACATATTTTCCTACTCTTTCAAAGCGGCATGTCTACATTTTACTGTGAACCTGTAACAAGTTAACTCTCTACACATGTTAGGAATGTGCATCTTTCTGGTGGACAATTTGAAGACTCACTAATGGAATCCTTACACAAAAACACTTGTGGTAAAAATGAAATTAATACAAAACATGTTGGATGTTTTTGGCCACTTTCATTTGAAGTTTTAGTAGATCTTTGGTTTTTTATTTGGTTTTGGTCTCCATCATTCCCTGTGGGATACATCTTGATCTTAAACTGCTAAATACTCAACTGTGTTCAACAAAACCCAAACAGTTGACATTCAGCAAGTTTTCCAGAGCTTTATTGCTGAAAATAGCTTCCTGTTGTGTCTGGAAGCAAAGTTGATGAGCTAAGACTGCAAGCTATAACATGTAAAGTAAATTAGCTACAAGAGAATAAAATGGTCTGAACAGCTGAATTGTTGGTGGTTATTCTGCATTGACTTAGTCATTTAGGTCATTGTTGCCTCTGTCAAGAAAGTCATGTTTAGCCGTGTTTTTTCGTTTGTCTGTTAGTCAGGATTACGGAAAAAACGGATTTCATGACACATGGTGGGAGGGTGTAGCATTGACAAAAGAGTAACTGTTTAAATGTGAAACGGATCTGACTCACAGTGAAGAAGTATACACACGTTTTTTTTCACTTTCATTACATGACATCACATGTCCCGTCTCAATGACGTCACAGACAACCATGATGGGGTCTGACTTGGAATGCAATATGCTTGCGATGCTAACAGTGCTAAGGGTGCAACAATACTATATGTTTTACACATAGAGGGATGATAGATAAGGCTCTCAGCAGTGTGAATTCAAATCAAACTGGTGTCTTTCAAAATATAATGTTTTTTTGTATGAAATTCCCTCATTGTGTCCTCTCCCCCAGCACAAAGCTTTGTATTAAACAGACAAGTTAATCATGAAAAGTAAGATTCATAGTTCATTTGAATAAATCAGGCTGTCCACTATCTCCTACATCTCATTCCATCCTTCGGGTTGATTAGTTCCTCTCTGTAACACAGTGCCATCTCACATCACCTCACAGTTACATCTCAAACGTTCCTGAGTCTGGAGGAAATCTTATCAGATGTCATTTCCCTCCCAAGTTTTTGTGATTTTCACACAGAGCAGTAACTTGTGACATTTTGCTGAAATATCACCTCTTGGGCGAGGAGCTCAGCTTTCACCACACCGTCTCAAATATCACCTTCTTGTGTTTCTGCAGCCGTCTGGCCAGACCACAGCTATGCCTTCAAACTTCCACACTTGATTAAACTGCAGCAAGTATTTCAATGTTATTTTAAACCTGTTTTTTCCAATGTCAGGATGAGAACTTGAGTCACATGTCAGATAATCACAGCAGTCTGTTTTAATCACCATGCTTTACTACTTTAAAATAACCCTGTAATAATCAAATGGTCTTTGAACAAAGAGCTTAATGGCATTAGCAGTAGAAGGTATCCTGCTACGGTAAAATAGAACAGCGTCATTATAAGAGATTCTTAATTTTGTCCATGAGGGAAACATTTTCTACGCCTTTTCAGCTAATGGAAGCCCACTCACTTTTCGTCTCTTTAGTATAATGGCTCACTTATGACTACATTTATATTTTTAATCCATGACTCCCTATTCATTTTCTTTACTTTCCATGCCTACTTTATTTGGGGAAAACAACTGACACCACCTGCATAATATCAGCGCATCCCATGCGATTTGGGAAACGTTTGGAAACGTTTTTGTGTGGAGGTTGCAGGTTGCAGCCTCTGTCATTTAATAGCAAAGGTAAACACTTTGATGAGAAGCTGTGAAAGAAAGCAAGGTTCAGTGTGACATTCTCCAGGCACAAGGTTACTTCGAAAATGTAATCTGGACTTCAAAGATTTGTGAAGAATAGCCCTAACAGATGAAAGAGAACGTCATCATTCTAAATGAATGTTTTATATATATAGCAAGTTTGTTACTTTACAAGTTTTGTCCATTTTGCTGTAAGACCAAACGTTATTGCAGTGGCGAACCGTCAGGGCCTTCAAGGTATTCAGAGAATACCCTGGAACACTCAGATAAAGGGGCGGTGGCGTGGGGTGTGTGTGTGTCTACCATGTGTCTACAGAAGGTCCAGTTGTGATAGACACGGTTCGCCACTGCGTTATTGTAATAGAGCAGGGGTGCCCAACCTTTTTTTAACCGAGAGCTACTTTTAAAGTTGCCAGTCTGCCGAGATCTACCAGTCCAAATAGAGAGGCGTAGTTACTGACAGCCTACTACCAGGAAAATACACACTTCTACTTGTATAAAACTGAACTTTGTACGATTAATACTTCATAAAATACTGCAGATCCTTTATCTTACCTCTTTCTAATCTACACACATACAAGTATTTAACTGAAGCTACACAACAGTGTTGTTGATACAGAGTTGGAGTTTATTCACACGTCACACTACAGTGGGTAATGTTTTCAAGAAACATTGAACAGTGCTGCCAC